GGCCAGACATCAATGAGTGTACCACTAGTAATACTATCTATAGGCACAACTGTTCGGCTCCCAGCACCTGTGAAAACGAGCCGGGACACTTCATTTGTAATTGCCCATCTGGTCACCGAAAAAACTCCTCTAGTAGCTGTGAGCCTAAAGATATGCTTCAATACTTTGGATGGACTCGAATTTTTCTTGGTAAGCTCCCCTCACTGGTTCTGGATTCTTTCTTTTCTAAAACAACTCGCTCTAATTATTTATGTGTGATGTGACCAGGAACCACTCTCGGCTTCTTGGTCATCCTACTTGCCGTTAGCTGTGTACAGCAGAAAATGAAACACATGAAGAACACTGAGCTCCGACAACAATTCTTCGAGCAAAATGGTGGTGGCATGTTGATACAACAACTCTCGGGAGCAGGGCCATCCAATGTTGATGTCAAAATATTTACTGAAGAAGGCATGAAGGAAGCAACCAACGGTTATGAAGAGAGCAGAATCCTGGGCCAGGGAGGCCAAGGAACAGTCTACAAAGGGATATTGCCGGACAACTCCATAGTTGCTATAAAGAAATCTCGGCTTGGAGACAGTAGCCAAGTAGAGCAGTTCATCAATGAAGTGCTTGTGCTTTCACAAATCAACCATAGGAACGTGGTGAAGCTCTTGGGCTGCTGTCTAGAGACTGAAGTTCCCTTGTTGGTCTATGAGTTCATTTCTAGTGGCACCCTTTTCGATCATTTGCACGGTTCCTTGTTTGATTCTTCACTTACATGGGAACACCGCCTGAGAATAGCCGTAGAAATTGCTGGAACTCTTGCATATCTTCACTCCTCTGCTTCAATTCCAATCATCCACCGCGATGTCAAGACTGCTAATATTCTTCTGGATGAAAACTTAACTGCAAAAGTAGCCGATTTTGGTGCTTCAAGGCTGATACCGATGGATAAAGAGCAGCTCACAACTATGGTGCAAGGCACTCTTGGTTACTTAGACCCAGAATATTACAATACTGGGCTGCTAAACGAAAAGAGTGATGTTTATAGCTTCGGGGTAGTACTTATGGAGCTGCTCTCAGGTCAGAAGGCCCTATGCTTTGAAAGACCACAGAACTCAAAACATCTGGTGAGTTACTTTGCTTCTGCCACAAAAGAAAATAGGTTGCATGAGATTATTGACGGGCAAGTGATGAATGAGAGTAACCAGAGGGAGATCTATGAAGCTGCAAGAATTGCTGTTGAGTGTACAAGAGTGACGGGAGAGGAAAGGCCAAAGATGAAGGAAGTAGCTTCAGAGCTAGAGGCCGTAAGAGTCACCAAAACAAAACATCAATGGTCAGATCAGTATCCCGAGGAGTCTGAGCACTTGCTCAGTGTTGGTATCTTATCAGCACAAGGGGAAACCAGTAGCACTGGCTACGACAGCATCAAGAATGTCGCAATATTGGACATTGAAGCTGGGCGCTGATAATTCCGACCAACTCTCACTAAATGATTTGGAATGTTCGCAAAAACTCAGTTTGTTCTCTATCAAACATGATATTCAAAAACTTTAAAGATTCTTCTTTCGTTAAATGGTTTATAATTCCCCTGAATTGGTATCCTACAGCACGGTATCGGATTTAGTGATAGAAAATTCAGAAATATTGTTCAAAATTTCCAACTCATGAATCTGAATATCTATAAATGATTTCTTTTAAACAGAAAGACTTTGTTGTGAGAGATCATTGTGGTTTCATCAGTGATGATACCGAGAAATATAGTAAGAGAGGTGTGATTGATATAAGCAGTTCTAAGGTTTGCTTTAACTAAACCTCTCACTCTCAGTTACTATTTCATGTAACTCGTAAGGGCTTGAAGTATCCAACTGGTAAAGCTTATTTTTAACATTCTGGTGTCTTATTCTTGGTATCGTAATCCATTTTTTTGGGTTGTAACAAATGTCCCATATTTTTTTTAAATTTCCAAATCCAAAATTGTTCACTGTTCAAATCTGTCTCCGTTTGTAATTTATCCAAAAATGGAACATTTTCCCCACATAGAATCTTGAGTTGGATTGATATTAATCAGATCATGAATCCTCTGTTTTTCAGTTGTTTTATAACTCTCTCCTTCATTGGTCTAGAACTAGGAAACAGAGCATGTTTTGGTAAGGAATTTGCTTCCTACATACATTCTTCTTTAGTCTGGTAGTTAAGTGTTGAGAGATGTCTTAATACTAAGGGAAGGAGAAGAGAGATGGACAAAGACTCAGTTTAATGAGAGCTCATAGTGGTTCTCCACTACGATAGTTTATGGTTATTTTAGTCACTATCAAATAGGCTCTTAAACATCTTACCTTTTTCCCATTTGAAAATTCCCTTTAACCAGCCACTAACCGTTGCATGTTCTTTGGACCTTTAAAAAATAAATAAACTAACCAACTGTTAGATCGAATTTGGAAATTTATTTTTACTAGGGATTATCCACACAAAAATTAAAATCGTAAAAATTAACA